AAACTATGGGCACACCATGCCTTAACTGGCCAAAGCAAGCTGCCAATAAATTGTACCGTTTACAAACCCCAACAACACCGCTTTTTAGACCTGTACATCATGATAACGTCAGGCTTGATGACTTCGCTATGGGAACAAATGCTATAGTGGCAGTGATTTCATACACAGGTTATGATATGGAGGATGCCATGATTATCAACAAGTGTGCATATGAGCGTGGCTTTGCTTATGGTAGCATTTATAAATCAAAATTTATCGAATTAGATGGGGCTAGTTTTTTCGCCCGTAGTCCACATTTGCCCGACCTAAATAAGATCTTGGACAATGATGGTTTGCCTCACGCTGGCACAAAATTATGGCATGGTTGTCCTTTCTACTGCTACTTCGATGTGGATACTTCAACCTATAAAGTTGTAAAATTAGACGAAAAAGAAGACTGCGTTGTAGATAGTGTACGTTATTGCGGTAACTTTAAGGCAAACGCGCGTCGAATGGTATGTGTGACTCTGCGCATACCTCGACCGCCTACAATTGGCGACAAATTTGCATCTCGTGCCGGACAAAAAGGCATTTGTTCGCAGCGTTATCCGGCTGAAGACTTGCCTTTCAGCGAAACGGGGCTAATACCGGATATTGTTTTCAACCCACATGGTTTCCCCTCTCGAATGACAATCGCTATGATGATCGAAACCATGGCGGGCAAAAGCGCTGCCTTACACGGACTCGTACACGACGCAACGCCATTTCGCTTCTCAGAAAAACATACCGCGATCGATTATTTCGGTCGCCTACTAGAAGCCGGTGGATATAATTATTACGGCACAGAACGTCTTTATTCCGGTGTAGATGGACGTGAAATGTCAGCAGACATATTCTTTGGTGTAGTTCATTATCAAAGACTTCGTCACATGGTGTTCGATAAGTGGCAAGTGAGATCCACAGGTCCAGTTGATGCTATTACGCAACAGCCCATAAAGGGTCGCAAGCGCGGTGGTGGTGTCCGTTTCGGAGAGATGGAGCGTGATGCTTTGATCTCACATGGTGCCGCCTTTCTTCTGCAAGATCGTCTTTTTCATAACTCTGATAAGACACACACACTGGTGTGCAGCAAGTGTGGCAGTATACTGGCGCCCCTGAAGAAGATCATTATGCGCTCAGAGACTGGCAAATTACAATCGATGCCAGACACTTGTCGGCTGTGTGGGGATGGCACCGCTGTGGGGTACATTGAAATACCATTCTCATTTAAATACTTAGTAAGTGAATTAAGTTCAGTAAACATAAATGCGAGATTAAAGTTAATGAATATTTAAAAAGTAAAAAAAAAAAACTCCATGATTTCTTTTACTTTCAACTAGCGAAACTACGGAAGCTTTTGATCCAATCGAGTGCATTTAATCAAACGCGAACGCAAATTTTCCACCACGACGTGTATAATTTGCACATTGGAATTGCGTTGATGAATGCAAGCAGGAAAGCCACCCCATATGTACTCATGGGCACCATATAGTCAAAGGGCATCTGACGAAACGTGTAGTCAGGAAAACTAAATATACTGCAACACCATTCTACGGGTGCTTTTACACTGCGGCGTTAATTTAATTTGAAGGTTGTGGTATGTACATATGGGAGATTTGCGTTTAATTTTGCCGACATATAATCATCGAATGTGAATTATTTTATTGTGTCCATAGGCAGTTGAAGTGCAGCAGTGTTTTATAGAGAATAAAATTTCAACGAGGTGATGGCAATGGAATAAAAGACAGTAAAATCTTCATACATGTACATATGTACATATGTTCTTGTTTAAATGCCCTGTTAATGATATATGTTTCACATAATGCAGACTGAATAAAATGCACTTCAACGTTACTTGAAGAAATGTTAAATTTCCGATGTAGGACATATATTGGATATTCATATTTACATACATACGCATGTGAATAATGAAGCTACGCCAATATAAGGGCATCAGATTTCAAAACTTCTGCAGTAGTATCTTATTCTCCCAAACATAATTGTGATCCATTGGATAGACCAAAAAATAATGGCACGTGGGAATAATGGCAGCTGATTTTAACGCTAACTAATGCTCCTGCTGATGTGGTACAAAAGTGAAGTCGACGTCGTGTAACTCGCTAAGGTACGTGATACAAGTAATAAAAAGGTATCAAACTACTATTCCAAAAACGAGATCTTACAAAATAATGCGAACGCCTTGGGGCAACGTCGCTCGTAGTTGCACCAAGGGTTTAATTTTTATATTAATTGCCTTGATTTTACCTATTTTTATTTGTTACGTTTTCTTAATGCTTTCGGTTTTCCTAACAGCCACTATTATTGATACGAACGTGCTTTGTTAGGAGTGCAAATTCTGGATAAAAGCCACCGTCCTGCCGCGGATTTCTCGGTAGTGGAAACCTTCATTATGTTTGGCTGGTAATTTCTTCCGGATACCGTGAGTACCTTAACCTTGTTATGTATGTACGTATGCCTCAGGTTATTACCTTGTTTATACCGACACATATAGTTATTTGACTCAGTTGTTTTGAGTTCAGTTTTGTTTCTCACATCGGTTGAAAGCAAGCATCAACGCATGATGCATTTAACGAGAAGTCAAAATTGGCTGGTATTCTTTATACAGCCCGTTTTTTATTGGAGTTATTGTCGTAATACATTTGTATTACTCTTCACTTCCATTTCGGTCCAGCACGCAAATTTATTAATTAACAAATGTCGAGTTAAATCAAATCGGTCTTTTGTGAATACAGTTTTTGCGTAGGTAAAACAAGGGATATGTAAAATTCCTACAATTCACAAGACAACTTAAGACTTTCCCAACATTTCATTTTCTTTGTAAAATGGCTAAGAGACAGCTAATTGAGCTCTGAACATTTATATTTATTGAACGTTTCGAACTTGAAAGAAAAGAAAACGTTAACGAAAGAAAGGTTTTGGTGACGACAATATTTTAGCTATTAGGAGATCAGGTAGATATAAAATTCTTTCATGAGAGGAGGATCGGTTGTTGGGCAGAATGGCCCCTTTTATTTCATTATTATTGGCATATGTAGATCTCACGATGGTCGGTTTTATATTACCAGGTCGCCCCGGGGGAACTCGGGTAGAGAACCATCACCTTATAATGCAAGTTTTTTTACTGAGTCGTTAAACGTTCATACGTATAAGCGTTAGAGTCGACTCTTATTAGGCTGCGAAAAAACTAAATACATACATATGTATGTAGAGCTGGGTAAAATTTATCGTTATTCGTAAATAATAGATAATTTAGTTTGCTCAAAGAAAAATTATTATGGTTATTCTAATGGCGAGTGTTATTTTATTCGTTATTTGAATAATGAACATAAAATACATATTCGTGATAAAGTAAAACCACTCAACTAACTGCCTATCAGAGATTATAGAAAAACATTTGTTTTACAACATTTCAAATTGAAAACAAATCACGACTAATTTATTCAGAAGGAATTTATTGATGAATAATTCATTCGTTAATGGATTGCTTGCGAATTATTTACGGCTAAAATTTGTTCAGATAATGCCTTGCTCCGGTTCTGTGTATCTCAGTTATTCTGCGACGGAATCTTATTGTATGGTCGTCAAGCATGCATATATTCGGAGATTGTTAAGACAATCTTCTATGCAAAATGAGTGTTAGGTATGCTTCCACTTAAAACATGTAAGAGTTCTATTTCTAATGCAAGTGAAGTTGATTGATGAAATTTAACATTTGCGGCTTCAGTCGTGGAATATTCCAGGTACCTATGAAGTGGAATACCTGGTTGCTTTCACGTTGAAGTCGCAAATACAGAGAATGTATTTACGAAGACTCGGTTGGTTCTTCGTTTGCTTCACTGCAGGGTGGTAGTAAGACCAATTTTACTAGTGGCCTTGTTACCTGGCCACGTTCGGTCATGATGTCCACCACTCGTACCCGAGTATCCGAACCTGGGTATAATTTTAAGACTCTTCCGAGTCTCCATTCATTTGGTGGTAAGTTGTCTTCCTTAATAATGACGAGGTCTCCTATTTTGATGTTGGCTTGAGGATGCCTCCATTTGTTGCGCTTCTGGAGTTCAGATAGGTATTCTGATTTCCATCGGCTACAAAACGTGTGATGTAAAGCTTTTAATCTTTGCCAACGATTTACAATCGTAGCCGTATTTTCGTTAGCATCAATTTCTGGTGGAGCTAATAGGTGTCCACCAACCAAAAAGTGGCCTGGAGTAAGTGGCTCCAAGTCTGATGGCTGGTTTGATGTGGGGCTTAATGGTCGAGAATTCAGACAGGATTCAATTCGGCATAGAAGAGTCGTAAACTCTTCAAACGTATATTTATGGTTTGATGCGATTTTCGTAAAGTGGTTTTTAAAACTTTTAACCCCCGCTTCCCATAGCCCGCCCATGTGAGGAGCTGAGGCGGGAATGAAGTGCCACGAAAGCATTTGGTGGGGATATTTGGCTAAGGTGCTATTGCGTGCATCCATCAAAAAGGCTTTTAATTCCGCTCTCAGAGCTCTAGAGGCTCCGACAAAGTTGGTACCATTGTCGGAGTAGATGTTTCTTGGACATCCCCTTCTTGAAACGAACCTGGCAAATGCTGCTAAGAAAGATTGCGTACTTAGATCAGAGGTAGCTTCCAAATGGATTGCCTTAGTTGCGAAACACACAAACAGGCAGACATATCCTTTGGACATACGACAGCCTCGTCCACTATAACTCTTTATGTCAAAAGGTCCCGCAAAGTCGACTCCAGAATTTGTAAACGGTCGTGAAAATGTAGTTCTTTCTCTGGGAAGAATTCCCATTAGCTGTGTTTGCGCACGCTTTCGATAGATCGTACAGACCTTGCAATTATGAATTGTAGACCTAATCATGTTCTTGACCCTCGGTATCCAGTACTGTGTTCGGATTAGGCGCAGCATGAGCTGATTTTCGCCATGCAGCGAGACCTTGTGGACGAACTGGACTATCAGACGAGACAGGTGGCAGTTATATGGCAGGATAACTGGGTGACGCTCGTTATAGGCGAGATCACTAGATGCTCCTAGGCGGCCACCTGTCCTCATTATACCGTCTTTATCGATGAAAGGGTTAAGGGGTAGTACTTCACTTTTTGTACCTATTAATTTCTGAGATTTTAATGCTGAATACTCCTCCCAATAATGCTTCTTCTGGCAGATGGTTATCAAGCGGCTTATCGTTGCTTTAATTTCATCAGCTGAAATTGAACAAAATTTCGCCTGAAATGACGCTCTGGTTTTTGGGTGAGTTCTTTGAGAGAATCTCATTACATAAGATAAAACTCTCAAAGCTCTCGAGAAATCAGAAAATCTTTCAATAATATCATCGTGGATATCTAACGTTGTTGTTGCGTGTACCTGCACCCTTTTCTCTTCTATCACTGTATTATAGTCCTTTTCTTGAGTGGGCCATTTGGAGTGATCTTCTTGCAGCCAAGAAGGGCCCTCCCACCACAGCGAATTGTTTACTAATTCTTGCGCCGGAAGTCCTCTACTGGCTAAGTCTGACGGATTTGAGGTTGAATCTACATGACACCAATTTTCTTTTCCGACTTTTTCTATTATTTTGGTTACTCGATGTGCAACAAAGGTTGACCATGAGCAGGGTGGTTTCCGAATCCAGGCCAGGACAACGGTAGAATCCGTCCACATTTTTGTCGTAATATGCCCCAAATTCAGGTTATTGGTAATCGAATCGAGGATTTCTGAAAGTAAAACCGCCCCACAAAGTTCTAAGCGGGGAAGCGAGATCGTTTTAACTGGTGCAACTTTAGTTTTAGATGGTAGCAGATTGGTGAAGACCTTGTCATCCTTTTCGACGCGAATATAG